GCAGGGAATCCCAGAAGAATGTATATTTGTGTTTCATTGACTATGCAAAGGCATTTGACTGTGTAGATTATAACAAACTATGGCTGACTCTGAGAAGAATGGGAATCCAAGAACACTTGATCGTGCTAATGCGAAACCTATACTTGGACCAAGAGGCAGTTGTCAGGACAGAGCAGGGGAACACTGCATGGTTCAAAATTGGGAAAGGTGTATGCCAGGAATGTGTCCTATCTCCATACCTTTTCAACCTGTATGCAGAACAGATTATCCGAGAGGCTGGGCTCTATGAGGAGAAGTGTGGTGTCAGGATTGGTGGAAGATCTATCAACAATCTGCTCTATGCAGATGACACAACCCTGCTTGCTGAAACTGAGGAGGACCTCATGCACTTGCTGCAGAGGGTCAAGGACTGCAGCCTTCAGTATGGATTGAGGCTTAATGTCAAGAAGACAATGATTCTCACCACTGGACCAATTGGCAGCATCAGGATGGATGGCGAAGAGATTGAGATTGTTAAAAACTTTAGTTTGCTTGGCTCCACGTCAGTACTCTTGGCACCAGCAGCCAGGAAATAAAAAAAAAAAACGTATTGCGATGGGAAAGTCCGCTGTTAGGGACCTCTCCAAAGTACTGAAGAACAGTGGTGTCATTCTGGAGACTAAGGTGTGTCTGATACAGGCCATGGTCTTTGCAACCACTTGTTATGCATCAGAGAGTTGGACAATGACTAGGGAGGATAGAAGGAGAATTGATGCCTTTGAGCTGTGGTGCTGGAGAAGAGTATTTAGAATACCATGGACTGCTAGGAAAACAAACAGATTTGTCCTGGAGAGGGTTAAACTGGGTGACTCCTTGGAGGCAAGGATTCTGAGGCTTCGTCTGACATACTTTGGACATGTTGTAAGGAGGGACACGTCCTTCGAGAGGGACATCATGCTTGGCAGAGTGAAGGAACAGCGCAGGAGGGGAAGACCCTCTATGAGATGGATTGATTCGGTGACTGGGTGATCGGGATAGGTGTGTCAGAGGCAGTGCGATTGGCACAGGAGACAGCAAGGTTAGGGCTGTTGTACATGGGGTCGCTATGAGTCGCAAATGACTCGACGGCACATAACAACAACAACAATCTAATACCACAGCTCAGAGGTATCAATTCTTCTTTAATCTTTATTTATTGTCTAGTTCTTGGATGCATAGCAAGTGATCAGAAAGACCAGGCCTGAATCAGTCATACTTTATTCTTCAAATTGACATTCTTCCAACAGTAGTTTGAAGAGGTCTCAGACAGCATGCCTACCCAGTGCAACACATCTCTTGATCTTACTGCTAGTATCAAGAATGTTGATTGTGGATCCAAGTAAGATGAAATTGTTGACAACTTCAATCTTTTCTCCATCTTTCCTGATGTTGTTTATTGGTTCAGGGTGAGGATTTTTGTCTTCTTTATATTGAGATGCAGCTTATTTTGAAAGCTATAGTCATTGATCTTCTGCAGCAAGTGTTTCAAGTCTTCCTCATTTCAGCAAACAATGTTGGGCCATCTTCATCATACAGGTTATTGATGAGTCTTCCTCCCGTCCTGATGCCACATTCTTCTTCACAGAGTTCAGATTGAATAGGAGTGGAGAAAGGATACAATCCTCACACATACTTTTTCTGATTTTAAACCATGAAGTATTCCCTTTCTCTGTTCAACAACAGCAACTTGGTCTAGGAATAGATTTTGTATGATCATAATTATATGTTTTCAGATTTCCCTTCTTCTTAATGTATTTTAACTTATGTGCAAAGAATTGGAGGTGGAGAAGAAAAAGAAAAGAACTCGCTTGACATTTCTTATGTTCAACAAACTGAAAAGAAGATTTAAGCCTCGAATTGCAATACTGAGAAATACTATGGGCAAAATCTTGAATAATCCAGAAACTTCAAAAGGAAATGGAAGGAATACAGAGTCACTGTATAAAAAATAATTGGTTAATACTCAAACATTTCAGAAAGTACTGTATAAACAAGGTCAGTGGTTATGAAGGATGAAGTTCAAACTACACTGAAGACATTGGCAAAAAAATAAGGCCCCAGGAATTGACAGAATACCAGTTCTCATGATTGAACTAACAAATGCAGCCCTCGACATGCTTGGTTGACTTTCCAGGAAATTTAGAGGACAACTGTTTGGTCCACTAACTGAAGGAGATCCATATTTGTTCACATTCCCAAGAAAGATGATCCAACAGATGGTGAAAATTATCAAACAGTATCATTAATACCACATGCAGGGAAAATATTACGGAAGATCATCCAAAAATGTGAAGAACAGTATATTAACAGAGAACTTCCAAAATTACAAGATCTGTTTAGAAGAGGCTGTGGCATGAGGGATACCACTGCTGATGTCAGATGGATTCTAGCTAAAAACAGAGAATACCAGAAGAATGTCTGTGTATTTGTGTTATTTTTCACTATGCAAAGGCATTTGACTCTATGGATGATAACAAATTCTTGATATTAATACATATTTCAAATATATAAAATATGATCTGCACCCTGGTTTTCAGTCATAGCATTGTCAAAAGGAGTAAAGGCAAGAGGGGAACTGTCCCCATCAAATAACATCAACAGGGAAAGTCCCCATTACTAACATCCACAGTACCTACGGTCAGACATGATTATCCACTTTCCTACCCCTACTCCTACTACTCGCTGGATTAAAAAATCATTGTAAATTATCATACAGACTTTACAGAATCTCTTTGTACTAATAGTGGTGAGGTTTATTATGGAAAAAAGTTGACGGGGAAAGACAAAAGATATTAGATAGTGAAAGTCCAGATTCAGTAAATAGCAGCCTCAAGCCAGGTTACTAGAAAGGCACAATCCCTCAATTAGTTCGGACAGCTTCTCTGGCAACAGCAAGATAGAGTCCTTCCTTAATCCAGCAACTTCTCAGGCAACAGCAAGATACCTCTGGTATAGGAACCTCTGGTCCCTAAAATGTGCTATTTCTTCTTGTTTCCTCCTGGTGTTGAGGTTGCCATCTTAAGGGCTCTGGCCCTGGTTCTTTGAGGCTATACTGTCCCACAACCCTGCTACAGTCTGAGTAGCTCTCTTATAAGTTAGCCTTGCAGCAGTTGACAATGTTGAAGATACTGATCAACATTGAAGCACATGTTTATATTTGAGCCAGGTGGAGACTGTACCTCCAGGGGGGCTAAGACAATGGAGAGAAAAGCCATTCTCAAAATTGTTAATTCCTTGATATTGGCATATAGAGATCTGAAACTTCCTACCATTAATTTCCATCTCTAGTCCCTAAAATGTGCTGCTACATTGCAGCAGCATTATTTCTATTACAATTATGGCTATTATGATGATAACTCTGTGTATGTTGTATGATCTTTAACTTTTATTTTGGATACAATTTATAACTATTTGATTATGCAAGCAACATGTTTAAAGACAGGCTTCAATGACATACACACTTAGAGGAAAGCTGAAAGACTGATATTTTCTAGGTATTATTTTTTCCACTTCCGTTTTATCTCAGTCTGGAATTCCCATGCTGAAGTAATCCTCCCCTTAATATCTAAACCTTTTGATCTCTTTATTGCCAGCTAGTACTCTAACCAAGAAGCAAATTATCAGATCACCTGCCAGGAAACCAGTGATTTAGCTAGCAAAAGGTCACATTGGGGTGACCCACCACATCTCTTGTTAGCAGGAATGATACTTGGGCTTGCTCTATGAGGTTTCTCCTGAAACTAAGCTCAAAGGCAGTAAGGTTGTACAAATACAGTCCTCTCAGCCTGCGTTGCCATCAGATATGTTGCTAACATAGAAGAGCTTTGATGTAGCTTGCCCCTATTTCTATTTGTTTTGTTTTCATTGTTCTCCTGGTAACTTTTGCAGTTCAAGTCAGTTTAGAATTCAATTGAAGTTATTTCATAATTCTTCTGTTTTCATGACAATTATCAGACTGGTTTGGTCCTTGCCTGCAGTTCATTTTAAGAGGAAAATTTCTAAAATGTGTCATCCTATACATTTATACATTATGGCATATCAGATATTAAAAATTAATGTGTAAAAAATTTTTTCTCTATACATATAATTGCTTGGAAGGAGGAGTGGCATCCACTTCCCTAACAGCTTGCCTCCAGAAACCCTATGAACCTGGAGAGAGGATGAGACATCCAAGCGTCGAAGACTCTCCTTCATAGGATCTCTATGAGTCGCGGCGACTCGACGGCACTTAACAACAACATACATATAATTATCTAGAGAACATTTTGACAACTAAAATTTTAATTTCACTTAAGTATTACATTACTTCATATCAGTTATGATTTATCATTTAACACTCCCAAACAATAGTAATGAGATTTATTACTGATACTATTTGCTGTACTTTTCTTAGGAAAAAAAATCTGTTTCTACATGTTTAATATTTTTTGAAATATTTTGCTACCTCTGATAATATTCAAGGTAACATATTTTTAGACACTTAAGTCTGTTCAAAAGAAGTGATACTAAGAATATTTTTAAGGAACTGTAATATCATTTGAATAAACTCCCCAAGGTGACTTATTGTAGATGAGTAATCATTTATTTTGATACAGCAGGCTACTTGTCTAGTATATTTATTCTTCTCAGTTTTCATCATGCCACTAGATAATTCCAGCTAGGGATTAGAAATACAAAATGACCATAGGGCATTGTCTGCTCTTAACTACAGAGAGTCAAATGTTCTGCAGCTCATATTTTTTTATAAAGTGTTATTAAATATGTTAATCTTCCAGAACACTCTATCATTTATGCATTGGGAAGACTGGAAAACATCAAGATCATGTATTTCTATCTAATAGGGATGGAAATTAATGGTGGAACTATTTTAGTAATACAAAATATATCATTCTCTAGGTGCTGTTGGGATACTAAAAAAGCAGTTTTTTCCTTGAAGAATGCTAATTTTAAAATCTAATCTTGGTTTTTCTGTTTCCTTCCAGTGAGGTAATGAAAATGAAGAAAAGATATGAAGTAGGTTTGGAGAAACTGGATTCTGCTTCATCTCAAGTAGCCACGATGCAGACTGAGTTGGAGGCTCTGCAACCTCAATTAAAAGTTGCTAGCAAGGAGGTTGATGAAATGATGATTATTATTGAGAGGGAGTCTGTGGAAGTTGCCAAAACAGAAAAAATAGTGAAAGCTGATGAAACGGTGGCAAATGAACAAGCTATGGCTGCCAAAGCCATCAAAGATGAATGTGATGCTGACCTGGCAGAGGCCTTGCCAATATTAGAGTCAGCCCTAAATGCTCTGGATACTCTGACTGCTCAGGTGAGTGCACCACCTGACACTTGGTAGGAAATGTCATTAATAGTTCAAAAAAATACTTGCTGTTGAATACCATTGAGTCAGGACCAACCCCGCCTGACCCTCTAGCTGATTTTCAGAGGCAGTAAATTGCTAGGAGAGAGACTTCCCATCTTTCTCCTACGGAGCAGCTGGTGGATTAGAACTGTATGCTCTTGGGATTACAGGGCAGTTTCTTATCACTAGGCCAATAGAATATGCTACAATCTAATTTTGTCTCTCCAGATTAGTTTCCAAATTTAATGCAATTGAAGTCATCTTGATATTGACAGAAGGGTTCCCAACTAAACTGGAAGAAGAAAACAATGAATGAGAATAACAGACAATTTTGAAAAAGCAAAATTTCTCATATGTGATGTTGTTGTTGTCACATGCTATGATTTATAGTGTCCTTAAGAATAATGGTCTGAACCCTGCCCTATCCTGAGCCAGTTTCATTGACTCTTACACACCTTCCTCTATTACCACAGTTGCTGTGTCAATCCGTCTCATCTAGGGTCTTCCTTTCTGGTGCTGACCCCAACATTTGCAAGCATGATGTCCTTCTCTAAGTACTGGTTCCTCCTGGTAGCATGCCCAAAGACAGAGTGTCACAATCTCTGCCTCCAAGAAGCAACCTGGTTTTACCCTTTCCAAGACAGACCTGTTTGTTCTTTGTAATCCATGATATGTTCAAGAATCTTCTCCAGCACCACAACTCAGTGGGCTAGATTCTTCTGTAATCCGTAGTCATTGTTCAGCTCTCAGATGCATAGGAAGTAATTACAAAGACCATGGCCTGGATCAAGAATTGATAGAATACCAATTGACATATTTCAACAAACAGATGTAGCCTTGGATGTCCTCACCAAGTTGTGCCAAGAAATCTGGAAAACAGCTACCTGGCTAACTGACTGGAGAGATCTATATTCATTCCCTTTCCCAAAAAAAGGTGACCCAACAGAATATGGAAATTATCAAATAATATCACCTGCTGAAGATTATTTTAAAAACTATTGCAATGGTACATAGAGAACTGCCAGAAATACAAGCTGGATTTAGCAGAAGCCATGGCTCTTCTTTGCCATAAATTTATCATTGCCAGTGTCAGATGGACCTTGGCTGAAAGCAGAACATACCAGAAGAATGTCTATTTGTGTTTTATTGATTATTCAGGGGCATTTTATTGTGCAAATAATAAGAAGCTCATGTGATAACTTATCATGAAATAGGAGTTCTTATATGAACATTGTACTCCAGTAAAGAGGATTAAAACTAAGTGTATATATTGTGGATTCTAAGACTCACTTTTATAAACATCTAAATGCATCTGTAATTGGATCTGTATTACAATGATGTCATGAAGCACTCTGTCAGTGTTGTGTTGTTTTTTTTTTAACCATGCCACCAAGTCTTATTACACATGAGCTTTTCAAATTATTGCCTTAGTATCTTTGTACACAGGCAATAGTAAGTGTACTGCTTAACATATTCGAACTTGCAAATCTGATCATTGTCTAAAGAAGGGAAAAGTATTCCTAAAGCAAAATTAACCAGGACGCCAATGCATCTGCTGGCTTCCAAGAACATGGAGAAGAACATGATAGACACCCTGTCCCCCATCTGAACATTCATTCACCACCATTCGATAACCCTTTTGCAGCCCATAGCAGCAGAACATTTCTTGCCAACAATCATGAGATGTCCAAGAAGATTTTCATCATCATCTGCTACAGAAATCTGGGTAATAGGTTTCTTAGGTATCACCAGAAAATGACTTGGTGCTTGAGGTGAAATGTCATGTAAAGGGAGGCACCGCGCTCATCCTCAAAAATTATTTTGGCTGGGATTTCCTTCCGGATTATCTTCCGGAAGATTGTATTGCCACAAGACCGGTGGTCTGAGCCTTGGTGAGCTCATCTGCCATCTCGGTCTCCCTCCTGCACCACGGCTTTGGGAGAAACACGGGCAGAGGAAGGAGCGAGAGAGCCCCGTCAGTGTTGTTTTAAAACACATTGTTGACGAAGTGTTAATAAGCCTTCTATGAAAAAAGGTATTACAAATCAATAATAAAATGTAGCTCTAAACAGGATTATTGTTGTAGTAATGTACTGTTGAGTCAGAACTGATCTGTAGATGACCCTCCTGTGGGTTTTCAGAGGCAGTAAATTGGATGTGAGGAGATTCAAACTGAAAGCTATCACTAGGCCACCAGAGGAAGTAATGCACTTCTTTAGAAGAAGTGGTAATAGTAAATGTATGTAGATATTCTACCTCATTTTTATTTAAAGAAACTTAAGATTTAAACAAAATTCTTTTGTCTGTGGAATACTTGACAGTACTTCAAAGGGTCCAGTTAAACAGGAACTCAACTTTCTAAAGAATAGCTTTTCAACATGTACCAAGGCTTTAAAAAGAAAAGATACAAAGTCTCTTATTCAGTATTTCAACTCTTATAATACTAAAACAGTAGGGGGAATTATAATTAAGGTGCATAACTCTATCAGAGAAACCATTAATAGCAATAATGTAAATGTTCACTGACATGGAGTACACTATAGATTCATAATGGAATATAGCATGCATGGTAGATATAATTTCATCTCTTAAAATATATACTGGTTTGTAGCATGTACACATAGAACAACATGTAGAAAGAGTATAAATAAAAATATTTAGTCATATGCATGTAGTAGAATTTGAAGGGATTTTATGTATATCATTTTCCCAGTTTTCTAATATTTCCTATGAACATCTGTTTCATTGTCTTTACTAACTAGAAAGTTGTAACTTCCTAATGTTCTTTTGCTGTGTTTCGGAAGTAGACTTCAGATATTTGACATAGAACATATTTTAGCATACTCAAGCACAACAAGATAAAGGTAAACAACCCAATTGAAAAATGGGCACAGGATATGAACAAACACTTCACCAAAGAAGACATTCAGATGGAAAACAAACACATGAAATGTTCAAAATCCCTAGCTCTAAGAGAGATGCAAATCTAAACAACTATGAGCTAGTATCTCACCCCAGTAAGAATAGCAAAATTTAACAGAACAGCAAACAACAAATGCTGATGAGGTTGTGGAGAAACTGGAACCCTTATTCACTGTTGGTGCAAGTGTAAAATGGTGCAACCACTATGGAAGGCAGTATGGCACTTTCTCAAAAAGTTGTAAATAGAAATAACATTTAACCCAGCAATTCCACTATTGGAAATATACCCCAAAGAAACTGTAACTGCCACCCAAGCAGATATATGCACACCCATGTTTATCGTGGCTTTGTTCACAATAGCAAAGAGTTGGAAACAACCTAAGAGCCCATTCACAAATGAATGGATAGAGAGCCTGTGGTATATTCACACAGTGGAATACTACACTACATTGAAAAACAAGAAACTCATCAAATATTACACAAAATGGGTGATCCTGAAGGAAACTATGCTGAATGAAATATCTCAGTCACAAAAGGATAAATACCGCATAATGCCATTGTAAAACGAGACTAACATCAGGGTTAGCGGGAGACTGAGAAAGATGCAATAAATTGTGTATACTGCATTGAAACAGATGAGGGAGAGAACTGTTTAAAAGGGATATATAATTAGGTATTATTGTCATGACAGAAGTCCAGAATGAAGGCTGCATAATGAAGTGGACTTGGGGGGAGGGATTGTATAACAACAAATGAATTTTTCTCTTATTTTTCAATGAGAAGAGCAAACTGGGGAGTGGGAAGAAGGCTGGGCAGGTAGAAAAGTGTAACAATAAATGAAAATCCAAAGTCTCTGCAAACTTTAAAATTAAAAGCTTTAAAATTTAAAATTAAAAACTGTAAATTAAAAAATGTTTTAGCTTTTAACTTATCCCTTCAGAAAACCTCCTCATTGTTTTGTGATAAAATTTTACTGCTGTCACCATTTCTACCCAATGAACAAGGTACCTCTGTATGCAAAAGTTTAGTGTGAAAACAGGAATGAAGTATAATTAACACACATTTCACTTTGAGTAATTAGTGTACTATTATTTCAAGGACATCACAGTGGTAAAGTCCATGAAGAGTCCTCCTGCTGGCGTCAAGCTTGTGATGGAAGCTATATGCATTTTGAAAGGCATCAAGGCTGATAAAATCCCTGACCCATCAGGCTCAGGGAAAAAAATAGAAGATTTCTGGGGTCCAGCTAAGAGACTTCTCGGTGACATTAGATTTCTGCAGTCACTTCACGAATATGACAAGGATAATATTCCTGCAGCTTATATGAATATCATAAGAAAACAATATATTCCAAATCCTGATTTTGTTCCAGAGAAGATTCGAAATGCTTCCACAGCTGCAGAAGGTCTGTGCAAATGGGTCATAGCAATGGATTCCTATGATAAGTAAGTCCTGACAAAAACTCACTGGTATGTTTTATTTTCACATCTGATTATTTAGTATGAAATTCAAAATTTATTTAGGTGAGAGCCTTCTCAGAAAATCATGTCTAATACCTGCTATGTGTTTATGTAGTTGTTGGAGGCAGAATTAAAGTATTAAAAATAGGATAATGTATCAGTTTTTTTTCCTACTTTTAAATAGTAATGTTTCATATAATAATTTATAGACATTTTATTTTATAGCATTAATTGCCATTGTGTCTATCCACCCATTGCCTTTTCCTTCATTCAACTTCATTTTGGACTCACACACTTAAAAATTATAACAAAGCTTAAAAATGGGTTTCAAATTTCAAAGAACTTTCTTTTCGATATTAGAAATTAAGACAAATTTTTAAAAAAATCTGAAGTTGTTTCAATTCTTATTTGAAAATAACAATAAACACATTACATGTTTACCTAAGTAACATGCAGTGAAACCATGAGAGTCTGAATTTGGATTCAAGTAAAATGAAATCCTTGATAGTGTCATTTTCGCCATATATGTCTCTCTGGAGACTAAGGTGTGTGTGATACAGGCCATGGTCTTCACAATCACTTGTTAATGCATCAGAGAGTTGCACAGTGACCAAGGAGGATAGAAGGAGAATTGATACCTTTGAGCTGTGGTGCTGGAGAAGAGTATTGAGAGTACCGTGGACTGCTAGGAAAACAAACAGATTCGTCCTGGAAAGGGTTAAACCGGGTGGCTCCTTGGAGGCAAGGATTCTGAGGCTCCGTCTAACATACTTTGGACATGTTGTGAGGAGAGACCGGTCCTTGGAGAAGGACATCATGCTTGGGAGGGTGGAGGGACAGCGCAGGAGGGGAAGGCCCTCTATGAGGTGGATTGATTCAGTGACTGGAATAATCAGGATGGGAGTGTCAGAGACAGATTGGCACAGGACAGAGCAGAGGTTAGGGCTGTTGTACATAGGGTCGCTATGAGTCGCAAGCAACTCGATGGTACATAACAACAACAACATCATGATATTGCTTAATCCTATTGTGAGAATTTTTGTTTTCTTTATACTGAGGGCTAATTCATACTGAACACTCTAGTCTTTGATCTTCATCAGTAAGTGCCTTAAGACCGACGTGCTTCCTTTTCAACAGTCAAGGTTTAATCATCTATATGTTGTTGCTGCTGTTGTTGATTGCCATCGAGCATGACTCATAATGACCCTATGAACAAAAGACCTGAAACCTTTCTATAACTATCATAGTTTCTCAAAGTGCGTATTTTCCAGAGGCATGCTGTTTAGGAAGTGGATGCTGCTCGTGCTTCCAATCATCTATATATCGCAGGTTAATAAGTCTTCTTCCAATTCTGGTGCTGAATTATTTTTCATAGAGCCCAACTTCTACGGTAATTTATGAATTATGCAGAATACATAAATATAGTAAAAGGATAGGACCTTGACACATACTCTTTCTGATTTTAAACTATGCACTATGCTTTCCCCCCATTTGCTTCATGGACTATGTACAAGTTCCACAAGAGCACAATTTTGTGTTCTGCAATTCCCATTCTTTGCAATGTTATGAAAAACTTTTGATTTACACTAATGAATGAATTTTTTCATTATCATTAAAACAGATAAGAATAATTCTGGTCTTCTCTGCTTTTCATCAAGAACCATCTATCTGATATCCACAATAATATTTCTTATGCTTCACAGTCCTTTGTTGATGTATTGTTACCACCATTATTTAATGATCTTTATAAAAATTTTAATGGAGTGTGATATTAATGATACCATTTAATATTTTCCATATTCTTTTGGACCATCTTTCTTTGGAAGGGGCACATATGTGAATCCTATTTTGTTGGTTGGCCGGATGCTGTCTTCTAAATCCCTAGCATAAAGCATGAACTTCTACCTATACATTTATTTGTTGAAAGACTTCCATTGTTATTTTACCCATTTGTGGAACCTTTTCCGTTTGTTTGTTTGTTTGTTTGTTTGTTTTTACAAGTGTCTTCAGTATAACATGGATTTCTTTTGGTACCACCAGTTCTTTACCACATTTTATAGCTGTATCTGGACCAATTCTTTTTCAATAAAGCTATTCATCAGGATCCGAGGAAGACTCACTCATCAACAGCACATTATGCTTGCTGAAATTGAGGAAGACTTGGTATGCTTGCTACAGAGGATCAAAAGCTACAAACTTCATTATGGATTTCCCCCAGGTCTGTAGGCCACATCATGATAGATGCACAAAAGATTGAAGTTGTGAACTACTTCATCTTATTTGGATCCACAATCTACGCTCTTGGTACCCGCCATCAAGAAATCAAAAGATGAGTTGCATTGGTGAATCTGTTAGGGACCTTTCTAGAGTACTTAAGAGCAGTAATGTCCATTGAAGACTAAAGTGCACCACATTCAAGCTATAATCGTCTCAGTTGCTTGATATGCATTTGAATGTTGGACAGTAACTAAGAATAACAAAAGAAGAATCAATGCCTTTGAGTTATGTTGGAAAAGATTACTGAATATCCGATGGGCTACCAAGAGAACAGGTCTGTCCTGAAAATTATGAAACCATAGTGCAACTTGAGGCAAGGATGTTGACACTGCATCTAACATTTTTAAGCTATGCTGTTCAGAGTGGCCAATCCTTGGAGAAGGATGTCTTGCTTGGAAATGTGGAGTGTCAAAGTAAGAAAGGAAGAACCACAACAAGATGGATTGACATTGTCACAGTAGCTCTGTGATCAAGTGTAGCAGAGATGGTAGATGACACAAGATAAGCCATGGTTTAGATCTACTGTTCTTGGGATTGCTCTGAGTCACAGTCAACTCGATGGCACATAACAGCAATGCCCAGGATATCGTTTCATTTGATAACTTCATAAGGTTCATACATTCATACCTTACGCTGTCTGTGTTCCGCTTCTTAAGGGATACTTGCTGCTGCTGCCGCTTTTCATCTTAAACTGTGACACATCAGCAAATAAAATTCTTGAAAGTCTCATTCTGTTAAGGTGGATTGAATCTCATTAAGATTAGCTATACTTTATTGTTGTGTACCATTGAGTCGGAACCAACCCATAGCTAATCCTGCAGCAGGTTTTGTGAGGCAGTTTAATAGCACAGGAGGAGATTGACCATCCTTCTTGCGTGGGGCAGCTGGTGGATTTGAATTGTGTGCCTTCAGAATTGCAGCACTGCTGCTTACCAGTTTTTCCCCAGTTACATTTTTAGTACGTTTCAACCTAAGGAGTTCATCTTCCAAAATTGTATCAGAAATGTTCCACTGTAGTTCATAAGGTTTTCACTGGCCAAATTTTTCAAGTAGATTGCCAGGGCCGCCTTCTTTGTTTGCCTTAATCTGGAAGCTCCGCTGAAACCTTCCACCTTTCTTGACCTGGTGGTATTTAAAAGCAGTGGCATAGTTTCCAGTATCACAACCATATGAAAGCCACACAGTATGGCAAACTAAAGATGAGTGGGGCTTGCAGATAATAGAAAGTTAATTTAGAGCCTTTCATTTATTACAAAATACCTCTTTATAAAATAGCAGGTTTTGACCAAGGCTGTATTCTTGACTGAAAGGAAAATTATGAAGATAAAATATCTCACCTTCTGTTCATTACAGTCAAATCATAACCAGTTATACTAGTTTTCTTCTTGTTTAGAACCGTTGAGTCAGAAATGGCCCATAACTGACCCTCTGGCAACCTATTCTCCATACAGATAATTGTCAAATTTCAGACTTGCAACAATCAAATGTTTTATTTTGTTTAAAATATTTACCTGACAACTTGTATATATTTAATATCTACAGCAGCCATTTCTTTAATACTTACATCTGGTTTAATCAGTTCTTTGTGGAAATGTGGGATGGAGAAATCAATGTGGATCTTACATAAAATTGTGTTTTAAGTTTCAGAAAGTATGAAAGAAAAGTAAATTCAATGGTAGAAAGTACACTAGAATATTGAATGAACATTTTTTTTTCTAATTTTACTTTTCTGTAGAGTGGCAAAAATAGTAGCTCCCAAAAAGATAAAACTAGCTGCAGCTGAAGGGGAGCTTAAAATTGCCATGAATAGTCTGAAGAAGAAGCAGGCAGCCCTTTATGAGGTACAGGAGAAACTCACCAAGCTTCAGGACACACTGGAATTAAATAAACAAAAGAAGGCTGACTTGGAAAATCAGGTGTGTGATGGTAGAGACAAAGATAAGCCTATCTTCAATTATTGTAAGTAAAAAAGATGTTTGAGATGGCATATATATAACATACTGGTCCTACTTTCTCCTCTAAATCAAGTTTTGACAATGGCTAGTTTATTTGACTTGTAATTGTTTTCTCCATGGGAGAAAGAGGAAGCATCTTATGCTGTTATGATCGGAAGGCTCGGAAACCTAATGAAGGGTTCCTATGACTCAGAACCAACCCCAATGGTAGTGAACTTGAGTTTTTAAAAACTTACGTATGGTTCACAAGTTAAGAATGATTTGGAAGTTTTAAAACAATTACCTCACAAGTGGTTCTAGCAAACCATCAAGTTGATTCTGACTCCTAGTGACTCCTGTGTTTCAGAGTATAAATGCTCCTATGGGTTTTCTTGGTTGTAATCTTCCTGTAAACAGATCATTAGATGTTTCTTCTTTAACTTTTCCTCTTGGCTTAAAAAGCCTAAAGTACTGGCGTTCAGGATTTTTTTTAAAAACCCTGTTTTGTTTTTTTGCTTTAGATTACTGGAATGTTGAACTAGATTATTTAGATACTTTTTCATCTTATAAATATGGAAAGGAAGGAGTAAAGTAAGTAAATTGTACAACAGTTAGTGGTAGAGGTGAGATTAGAACCCCGTATCCAGAACTACCCTATGTCCACTGAAAATGTGTTTAAGACTAAAAATAGTGCTCTAATTTATACAGTGATATAATCTGTAAAAATTAACTATAAATGTCTACTTATTTTCGGGGTGTGGGAATATAACAGTAGTTACTGTAAATTCACTGCATTTTTTTTCATTCTCAGCATAGTCTTCTGAGCAGGGTAATCTTTTGTACCACTGTAAGTAAATGAAGAAAGAGAGTAATGCTGGCTCAGTGGTAGAGTTATTCTTTTCCATGTGGGAGACCTGAGTTACCTCCTCAGTCATACACCTCAAGTGCAGCCATGCAGCCACCACTCTTCTGTCAGTGGAAGCTTGTGTGTTGCTGTGATGCTGAATAGTCAGTCTTGAAAATTTTAGTGGAGGTTCCAGACTAAGACTAGGAAGAAAGGCCTGCTAATCTACTTTTGAAAATCAACTGATGAAAATCCTATGGATCATGCTGGTTCAATCCTGTTTGCACAGAATCACTATAAGTGAGGCCAACTCAATAAAACCTATCACTATAAGCAAGGCCAACGCCGTAAAACCCTAAGTAAGAAAGGAAAGAAAGATTAAGCAATTTGCCTGTGATCAATTCATTTTTTAAATGTTATGACTGAGACTCATGCACAGAGAGTCTAACTGTAATGATGTCTTCTTCCCTATGGTACCAGAATGCCTTTTTGAATAGGTTTCTGCAGAAGTGTCATATTTCTCTGAGCATAGTTTCTAAAGAATCTGTTAGGTAATATAACCAATACATGGATATGTCGTTGCCAAGGTGGTGGTTGTTGTTATGTACCATTGAGTCTGAGCTGACTTATAGCTGACTCTCTGGAGGGTTTTCAGAGGTAGTTAATCATTGAACAGGAGGAGATTGTCCAGCCTTCTCCTTGGAACAGCTTGTGGAATTGAACCACGTGCCTTCAGCATTACAGCACAGCTTCGTACCACTAAACCCTGTTAGATGTTTACAATTTTTTAATAATCAAATGTTGGAAAATTAAATAATGAACATTGACCATTTGCATATATGTGTACTGAAAATGTAGTTTTGGAAGAAAAACATTGTTAAAATATTTTAAATATTTTTACTTATGAGTTATTATTTGTATAATAACTTTATTGTAGTCCGAAACCTTACTCACATTATAATTATAATAAAGACAATTAAAAGAAGAATGCCTACAGAAAGAAACTTGGATGAAAAGCATATTTAAAGAGAAGAAATTAATAGAAAAAAAAGCTTGAGATTTAAATAAAGAAAATATATGTATGCCTCTAACATATATTTTTATCTTTAAAATATTTCTGTAGACTAATACTGTATTTAATATCATTTCTTCTAAACACATGTATTTAAGTTAGCAGTATTTATAGGAAAAGCTATAAATCAGATTATTATGCAGAATAATAAAAATGCCTTTGCATTTATTTAACTTGTATTTTTATGTAAATTGTTTCATTTTAAACCTCAAGTTAATCTTTTTTTTAAACCTCAAGTTAATCTTCTTCCAAGAATAATTATGCTATAAAACATAAAAAATTAAATCCAAATAATACAGTAATATTGCCACGGTTTGAAATGGCTTCCCCAAAATCTACCACCTTCATAATTATCCTTTTTTAATCACATTGCTTAATTATATGTAATAAAATTTGGGTTATTTTATAGCAATTTTATGTACAAAGAGCGCTCTTGGCCTGACTGATGTCCCAATTTAAGATTAATTGCTAATATCTAAATAAATTGATAGAATTTAACAACTTGAAGATTATGCTTTGTAAATAAACAAAATTATTAAAACTTTTAAGCATTTAGTTTTTGAAATTATCATTAAATCAACCATAAGTTTAAGAAAAAAACATTTGTAGATTATTTAAAATTAAATTTATCTACATTCTTTAAAATAAAGAGAAAACATATATAGTTGTAAGAGAGTATCCCTTATTAACCTTCAGCCACATGCCATAAGACAATAGTGTAGATAGAGTTGTTATTTGTATCATAGGAAATCTTGTATGAATTTTAGAAGTTGTGTCCAGTAATTTTAACTTACATCAAAAAATTAGAATGAAATCCACTGACTTCTCAGTTTTAATGATGAAATGTCATATTTTTATTTTAAATTAATAAAGTCCACACTGAAGTTTGTTATTTAAAAATTATCTCTGAATATAAAGTTAATTTTCTAATTTGGTGTACTTTTAGATGTTGATAGAGTTTTATTTTAATGTTTTAGGTTGACGTGTGCAGTAAAAAACTAGAGAGAGCCGAGCAATTGATTGGAGGCCTTGGAGGTGAGAGAACACGTTGGAGTCAAACAGCCCTGGAGCTGGGAGAGTTGTACGTCAACTTGACAGGCGACATCCTCATTTCCTCGGGAGTTGTGGCTTACCTGGGAGCTTTCACATCTAACTACAGACAGGTAAGGAATCCCATCCCATCCCATCTCTAAGGTCTCTTCTTGACCCCTCAGTTACAACCAACATTTAATCATGAAGGATTGGCTTTATTTTCCAAGTATAACAAGCACAATATTTTAAGGTGACTTCTGTTTGTATATTATAGGTATAAATAAACCTGCTAGCTAAAAAGATTTTATATGAAGTGTTCTTTTAAAATACAAGTTTAGAAACAAAAGCCCTATTTTAAATTATGACATGCTTAAAGGACAGCTGGAGCGGCATCCACTTCCGTAATAACTTGCCTCCGGAAACCTTATGAACCTGGAGAGAGGATGAGAGACACACAAGTGTTGAAGACTCTCCTTCATAGAGTCACTATGAGTCACCTGCGACTCGACGGCACTTAATAGCAACAAACAACAAAAGGAGAGCAGTTTGAATTTACCAGCTGTTCTAGGCGAGAAAGATGAGCTTTACATTCTCAGACCTCATGGAAGGTCCCTATAGGTCAGACTGGGCTCGACAACAATGGGTTTTTGTTTTGTATGATAAATTGGAAGGGGTCCATATGGTACAGTTTTTAAAGTTTGCCTGCTAGCATATAGGTTGGTGGTTCACATTGACTAGCTGCTTTACAGGAGAAAGCTGTGGATATTTGCTTCTCTAAAGATTATAGTTCAGAAACCCTATGGAGAAGTTCGACTTTGTTCTGTAGGGTGGCTGTCCTATAGGGTGGCTATGGGTTGGAATCAATTTGACGATAACAGGTTATACTGATTTGGAATACGAAGAAAGTAGCTGCATCCACCATTTCCATTCTTTGTTGTTTTAGAACATGTCCCTGGGTGTCTATATTGCCTCCTGCTTAGTGTCCGTGTGCTCTGGTGGTGCAGTGTTATAGGTTATGCTGCTAACCACAGATCACTGGTTCAAACAAACCAGCTGCTCCATGGAAGAAAGATGGGTGACCACAAAGTGGCCTAATGGTAAGGAACTAAGTTGCCAACTCAGAGGTACACTGTTTGAATCCACCAGCTGCTCTGTGTGGGAGAGATGTTCTGTCTCCTCTCATCTCTGAAAATCTGCTGGAGGGTCAGCTGTAAGCAAAACTCATACGTCCTATAAACTCTGCACTCACCCCTGATTCAGGTAGCCTCTTCATCTCATCCCTCCCATCCCATCTCAACTCTGTATAGGCTTAGAGATAATGCCACTCTTTCTGTGCTTCACTATAGTAGCCACACTTTTATGTTGTTGATCTTGAGTCTATCCCACCCAAATTTCAAAACCCTCTCAGGAACAAGTTTGAGACCTTGAACACTAATGAGCGAAGACCAGATGGGCTGTGGGAGAATATCAAGAGTATCATCCATGAAGAGTGCAAAAGGTCAATCATTACCAAGACAGAGGAGGAAGAAAAGACTAGCATGGATATCAAAAGAGACTCTGAATATTGCACTACAGTGCCGAGATGGCAAAGCAAAAAGTAGATATCAGGAAGTTAAGGAACTGAACAGAAGATTTCAACGGGCAGCACAGGGAGACAAAGCAAGGTCTATAATGAAATGTGCAAAGAGCTGGAGTTAGAAAATCAAAAGGCCCAACTCACTTGGCATTTCTTATGATGAAGGAACTGAAGAACAAATTCAAGCATCAAGTTACATTGTATAAGGGTTCTATGGGTAGAATAGTAAATGATCCAGAAAGCATTAGAAGAATATGGAAGGAGTCACAGAGTCACTGTACCAAAAAGAACTGGCTAACACAGAAGTTTAATGAAACAACATATGATCAAGAGCTTATGGTGATAAGTTCAAGCTGTTCTTGAAGGAATTGGCAAAAAATTAGGCCCCAGAAATTGACGTATACCAATTGACATATTTCAACAAACAGATGCTGCTCTGGACTTGCTCACCAGGATATTCCAAGAAATCTGGAAGACAATCATCTGACCAATTTGACTGGAAGAGATCAGTATTTATTCCTATTAAAAAAAAAAGTTAATCCAACAAAGTATGGAAATTATCAAACAATATCACTAATATCACATACAGGCAAAATCCTGCTGAAGATAAACTGAAAAATGACTGGAATAGTACATAAACCGAAGGCTATCAAGAAATACAAGCTGGGTTTAGAAGAGGCCATAGCACTAGAGACATCATCACCAATGTGAGATAGATCTTGGCTGAAAGCAGAGAGTACCAGGGGAATGTCTCTCTGTGTTTCATTGTCTATGCAAAAGCATTTGACTGTGTGGATCATAGCAAAACTGTGGCTGACTCTGAGAAGGATGGGAATCCCAGAACACTTGATTTTGCTCATGTGAAACCTATACTTGGACCAGGAGGCAGGTGTCAGAATAGAGCACAGAAATGTTGTGTAGTCCAAAATTAGGAAGTGAGTACATCTGGCACACATCCTGTCACCATAGTTTTCAATCTGAATACAAAACAGATAATTTGGAGGGTTGGACTATATGTGGAGACATGTGGCATCAGGATTGGAGGAAGACTCATTCATCAACAACCTGCATTATGCAGATGATAACAACCTTGCTTGTCAAAACTGAAGAGGACCAGAGGCATTTAGAGCAGAAGGTCAAGGACTGCAATCTTCAATATAGATTGAAGCTTAATATCAAGAAGACAAAGATTCTCATCACTGGGCCAATTGGCAGTACCATAATGAATGGAGAAAATATTGAGGTTGCTAACAATTTCAGCTTGCTCGACTTGTCAATCAACACTCTTGGCACCAGCAATCAGGAAATCAAAAGACAAATTGCATTTGGAAGTCCATTGTCAGGGAACTTTCCAAAGTTCTAAAGAGCAATGATGTCAGTCGACAGCCTTAGATGCACCTGATCTAGGCCACGGTCTTCGTAATTACTTGCTATGCGTCAGAGAGCTGTGACTAAGAACAGAAGAAGAATTGATGCCTTTTGGTTGTGGTGCTGAAAGAGTATTGAACCTACTATGGACTGCCAGGAGAACAAATAGATCTATCTTGGAGAGAGTGAAACCGAGTTGCTCTCTGGAGGTGGAGATTTTGAAGCACGCTTTCATATAATTTGGGCACATAATAAGGAAGGACCAGTTCTTAGAGAAGGACTTCATGCTTGGAACGTGGAAGGACAGCACAGGACAGGAAGACCCCAGATGAGATGGATTGACACAGTAAATTTAGGGCAGTGGGATTAAGTGTGTTGGAGTCAGTGAGATTGGCTCCATCAGATACAGTAGGATTCAGAGCTATATAGTACATAGGGTTGCTATGAGTTGCGGGCGACTCGATGGCACATAACTACACAAATACTGACCCCCTAGCATTACTGACCCCTCAACAGGTTTACAGAGTCTGTAAATTACATGGAAGGAAATTATACATCTTTCTCTCTTAGAGCAGCTCGTGAACTGCATGCCTTTGGGTTGGCAGCACAACTCCTTATCATTAGGCCACAAGAACTCAACCCTTTACCACTAACCAAAAAAGCTGATGGCTCAAATCCACTAGCTACTCTGCAGGAGAAAGATAAAACGGCCCCTCGTTAAGATTTACAACCTCAGAAATATCATGGAGTCAATGAATCAGAAGCAACTCAGTACCTACGCTTGTTTTCAGTTTTATTTTTTCCTTCTCATTTCACTCTTAAGTGATCTAGACTTTGGGGGGTTTTCCCCCCCACCCCTATGTGGGCTTGGATAGACTTTATCTGCACGTTGTTGTTATTGATTAAGTGCCTTTGTGAAGTCATAGATGACTCATAGCAACCCTATGAGTGAAAGACCTGAACACTTGTATGAACACTTTGATCATCTTAACATTAAATGACATTAATTTGTATTTGAGTTCGTAGACTTACCTTCTGAATTGTAGTTTTATTTGAAGGAAATTTAATAAACACAAATAATTTCAAAGGTAGAAGTTCAACAAATAGAGTTGACTCGAGGAATACAATGTAATTGAGGAGTATATAAAGGATCTAATTAGTAACCACCAACCTCTTCTCTGTGTTTTTCTTTGTGTTTCAAAGAACCAGACTAAGGAATGGGCAGATGAGTGTAAAAAAATAGATATTCCCTGTTCAGATGATTACTCTCTCATGAATACCCTAGGAGAAGCTGTGACAATTCGAACTTGGAATATTGCTGGCTTACCTTCTGACTCATTTTCCATTGATAATGGAATCATCATCATGTAAGAAAAAGAATTGTTTTCCCAAATGGTTTTATTAAACAATCACTAACTAATTTGTGTATACTTAAACAATTATTGTTTAGTAATATTTGACAGTATTTAAAATATTTTACTGGTGATTTAGATTAATTATAAAGAGTCACTTCTCATATTAATTTTGTACTAGTCTAGTACTGAATAATGTGGTAAACAAACAAACAAAAACTAGCTACTTTTGCAAGAATTTTAATCCACTTTTGGCAAAAAAACCACAAAATTCTTCCTAAAATAAATGAAGTTCTGAATTCCATTTCCATTAAGTACAGAGGTTTCTGACTGCCTGTGAGTTGGTGGTGGCAAAAGGGAGTCCCAAATTCTGTCTTTGTAGTGTTGTTAGGTGCCATCAAGTTAACTGTGACTCAAAGCAACCCTGTGACCAAGAGATTCACAGGCCTTGCCGTCTCTGGTACATTGTTGTAACTTGGTGAGCCTGTTGGTACAGTCACAGTGTTGAAGGTTTTCTTTTCCTCTGACGCTTCCCTTTTCCTAGCAGGGTGGTTTTCCCTAAGGGTGTCAGCATAAAATCTGTTGTTATATTTCTGGGTCCTAGATTGATTTGAACTTCTAAGGCATGGACCACAAATCCTGGAATCATCTAGTGAGTTTTGTTAGGTGCTGTGACCAACAGTGACCCTATGAATGACATGTGACAAGTTGGCTGCATCCTGTGCCAGCCTTATACCTTTGCCCATGCTGAAGTCCTTTGTAGCTACTGTGTCAGATGATCTCTCTGAAGGTCTTCCTCTCTTTTGCTGATCCTCTGTTTTTCCAAGCATGATGTCTTTTTCCAAGGACTGGTTTCTCCTGATAAAATGTCCAAAGTATGTAAAATGAAGTTTCACAATCTTTGCCTCTAAGGAATATCTTATTTGTACTTCATCCAAGACAAATTTATTTGCTCTTTTGCCAGTCCATGATAATTCAATACTCAATAAATAATAAGCATTGATTTTTGCAGAGTTTTGGATGCTAAAAGTCAAAGAAGAGTCTTAACTGTCAAATCAAGAGTGTCAGCTAAGTCTGTTCTTTCTGTGACCCCCCCTCTTCTAGTTTCTGGTGACAGCTGACAATCCTTGCAATTCCTTTGATGCTGATAGATAAATTTGTGAAATTTTATGTATACATGTTTGTATCTATTCCACTCTTTTTTTTATCAGATATCACTTAGAAGTTATTAGGTTTATCACTCTGTAAAGTAAGCAAGGTCAACATGGGGAAAGCCAAGGCTGATCTTTACTGACTCCACAAAGGAGAACTGCCCCCATCACTAACATCCACTGTGTCAGACTAATAGCTACAAGGTCAGACATGATCCTCCACTCTACTGTACCTACTTCTGCTTATCACTGGACTGGATGGTCATTGCAGATTTACTTAACAGAATTTACTCACAGTTGTGGGATATTAGAGAATTAGGTTGGGGGATGAGGAAGGCAAAAGATATCACACAGTGAAAGTTCAGGTTCAACCAGCATGCAAATGCAAGAAGTTTCTAGTTTCCTCAGTCATCCAGCAAGCCTCTTCCCATAATACTCCAACCTAGCAAGTAGACACTTCCTTCAGTCACCCAGCAAGCAGAACCTTTAACTCTGGCTCCATCTCCAGGGCTTCATCAGGCCACATCTCACCACAGTCTGTCCATAATTTTAACAGTTCTCTCTCGTATCTTGGCCTCACAGCTGTTGATGATATAAAAAAATTCTGATAAATAATGAAATACCTGTCTGCAGTTAAGGCACCTGGAGACCAGGATTGCTCAGGATGGCAGGGGAACTTCAAACATTGATTTTACTTACACATTTCCACCTGATGATTTTCAAAAATCCCAATACCACACACACTCAGTCCACTTTACTGTGACCTTATTAAGAAAACAAAAGAAAATTCCCATTTCCAAGCAAGGTCTTATTTATAGGTAAAAGGGAAACTTCAGCATAATTTTTGAGAGAATTTAATCTATGTAACAGGACCAGAATTAAAGACTACTACTTCTTGATCTGTTCTACATAGGTCTTTGCTATCACTTGTTAGGCGTCAGAGAGTTGGATAGTGACTAAGTGACTAAGGAGGATAGAAGGAGAATTGATGCCTTTGAGTTTTGGTGCTGGAGAAGAGTATTGAGGGTACCATGGACTGCTAGGAAAACAAACAGATTCATCCTGGAAAGGGTCAAACCGGGCTGCTTCTTGAAGGCAAGGATTCTGAGGCTCCGTCTAACATACTTTGGACATGTTGCCAGGAGGGACGGGTCCTTGGAAGGGGACATCATGCTTGGTAGGGTGGAGGGACAGCGCAGAAGGGGAAGGCCCCCTATGAGGTGGATTGATTCAGTGACTGGGGTAATCGGGATGGGTTTGTCAGAGACGGTGCGATTGGGACAAGACAGAGCAGAGTTTAGGGCTGTTGTACATAGGGTCGCTATGAGTCGCAAGCGACTCAACGGCACAACAACATCTTGATCATCTAAATTATAATCTTCAGAAAGGAAGGATCAAATCTAGAAGGATAAAAAAAAGTGTGTGCTAGTGTATCTATGAACTCTGGTAGGACAATGTTTAGAGCACTCAGTTACTAACTGAAAACTGGTTTGAACTCACCAGGTACTTCTGGGAGGAAGACCTAACAGACTTCTTCCATAAAGGTTTACAGCTCTGGATAACCCTATGGAGCAGTTCTCTCTAGGGTGGCTGTAAGATGGAATGAATTTCATGGCACTGGGTTGGGTTTGAACTTGTTTCTAAAACAGTAGACATTAACTGATTTTCAAGAAGGTGGCTTATTGTTGACTTACTCAGTAAGTATGTGGTATGCAGACAGTCTTTGTTGGTATGTACGGAAAGAATTCCCATAAGAAACGTAGAGTAGGCTTAAAAAGGTTTTGTTGTTGTTGTTATGTGCCGTCGAGTCGTTTCCGACTCATAGCGACCCTATGCACAACAGCCCTAAACCCTGCTCTATCCTGCGCCAACCACACTGCCTCTGACACACCCATCCCGATTACCCCAGTCACCGAATCAATCCATCTCATAGAGGGTCTTCCCCTCCTACGTTGTCCCTCAACCCTCCCAAGCATGATATCCCCCTCCAAGGACCCGTCACTCCTGGCAACATGTCCAAAGTATGTCAGACGAAGCCCCAGAATCCTTGCCTCCAAGGAGTAGCTTGGTTTAATCTTCTCCAAGATAAATCTATTTGTTTTCCTGGCAGTCCAGGGTACATTCAGTACCCTTCTCCAGCACCACAGCTCAAAAGCATCCACTCTCCTTCTGTCCTCCCTAGTCATTGTCCAACTCTCTGATGCATAACAAGCGATTGCAAATACCATGGCCTGTATCAGGCGCACCTTAGTCTCCAGAGAGACACTGTTGCTCCTGAGTACTTTAGAGAGGTCCCTAACAGCAGACTTTCCCATCGCGATACGCTTTTTGATTTCCTGACTGCTGGTGCCAAGAGTGTTAGAAGTTTTAAAATGTTTTTCTGCCCTGCTGGACCAATCAATTTCAGCCTACAGGAAATGACCAATATTTGCTATTATTGTTGTCACTGATGTTTTTCTCCCAAAAAAGTGCTTTGGTTCTTCCTAAGCACCTAGGAAAACTGGAGGTTTTGTTTGACGTGGTGATAGTTATGTCTTTATTGCTTTGATTGGCAATTTATTTCCTCTTGTTCCACCCAGACGGGTGTCTACATTTATCCATTGGAGACTAGATTGTGTCTTATTGCTAACAAATAGATGTACCTTTCCTGTTAGATTTAGTCATGTTTCAATGGTAACAAAACAGTTTATAAACAGTTCTGCGTTTAAGATGCTAAGTCTTTCTATTCATTATTATTCAAGGTAACATGCTTTTTAAGGCAGGGAAATAGAAAATTATATTAAGGAGTCGTAGTCCCTATTTGCAGGAGAGGAACACCCTGTACGAGATGGATTGACACAGTGACTGGCTGTGTAAGGGCAAGTGTGTCAGACTGTGAGGTTGGCTGAGGTTCAGAGCTATTGAAACCCTATATTTTTCCTGTTTATAGAAATGTCGGAATATTAGAAACAAATTATGCCCAAGACTTTACTAAAAAGGAATTATTAATATTTTCCATTCTTGATTTGTTTTCTTAATGCAGTTTTATCTTGAAGGATTTCTGTGAATAGTTTAAGGTGATCATTTTGTTCAGTATCAGATAAATATCTTACTCCCAAATACCAGAGAAATATGTTTGATGATAAAATCTAATATTGAGTACTTCCTAAGAATCTAACTTGTGTTAACCATGTGCTTTGTCTATACTATCTCAGGTAAGTAAGAAGTTGATATTTCAGGGAAACGGGAAGAATCTGTAACTTATAGATGATATAGGATAACTTTAAGAGCTTACAGACACTGAAAGGCTCTTGGGTAATCAGAATTTCAAAGGCTTATGATACTATTAAATGTATGTGGGTTGTATCTGAACATATCATGGGTAAATTATTAGAATTGCTTCACTGCTTAATTAAACATGTCAAACCTCTATTTACCATATTTATGTTTGTGTTTTTAAAAAAAATCTTTTTAAAATTTTCATTTCTAGACACATCAGATAAGTTGGCATCAAAATGGAGTAGGATGTCTCATTATCTTGTCAGTTTTTTGTAGTTTGTAATGAGGAAAATAACAAAGAATTTTAAACTTTACCACTACAATATGTTCAAATACTATGTCCTTCAATGCATATTAATGTGAACATAAATTCTATTAGAAGGCTGGCTTTTCTCCAAATCCCAAGAAAGTACCAAATAACAATATTCTCCAACCAATAATAAAACAAAAAAATATTTTTTAGCTTTGAACCTGCAGTGCTGTAAAAATTCAGTCTCCTCTGATCCAAGTATTTGAAGGTTCAGGGATGCCTGATGGAGGGAACAGGGGAGAGAAATAATTGGGGAAAATATTATCTTGTAAAAAATAAATCAAGGAAACAATGGT